TACAAAGAAAATTTATATAAAATGTTCTACAGGTGGCATCTTCCACTAGCGAGATTGGCAAAAATGTTTAGAAATTTATCACCAAAATATTGGAAATGCAACCATGATTGGTGGTTTTGGAAATGCAACCATGATTGGTGGTTTTGTAAAAAAGCAAAGGAGTATTGGTGGAAAATTTATTTATGGTTGGTGGAAATAACTGGAGAAGAAATCGAATATAAACCAGAACTATTCCTATTGGGAATCACAAATGGGAAATACAGTAAAGCGGTAACTTACTTAATAATTCATATTATAACAGCAGCAAGAATGAGTTTTGCTCAAAATTGGAAAACTAAGGAAACTCCTCTAGAAGATGAGGTGATTAAAATTTTTTTGACATGTGTGGAAATGGATAGATTAACCTTGGAATTAAAAAATAAAGGTGAGTCAGAATACCACAAGATATGGAATAAATTTTACCAATGGTTGGAACAGAATAGAGGGTCGGAAAACAAGAACTGACTAGAATTCATAAAATGGAGATTTAAAGCTATGTATGTAACTACAATAGAATGATAATGAATAAAACAAATGTATAAGTAATATAGACAGAAGAAGGATGTCTTTGTATATGTAAATACTGAACAGACTAACTGTATATAAATAATAAGGTATATATGATACTTATCTTTCATTTAGTATGTATGGCAAAGAGAAATGCCAGGACGGTTACACCATGTCCAATATTTTAATATGTGTGTAATAAAATTTTATTTAAAAAAAAAGAGTTGCCTCTAAATATATGGTAAGTTGACCCATGTTGAAAGATCTAAAAAGAGGAACTTCAGCTTTTGTCCCCTCCCCCACCCAAAAAAAATTCATGAATAAAATCTTTTATGCCATGGCACAATTAGATTGTACAATTAATTCAATTCAGGTTGATTAGGAAGACGGATTCAGACATCAGACAATTTTATAGAACTGTGATGTCATACATTTTGTTTGATAGGTCAAAAAAACAGTCACTATTTTCACTCATTATTTGTGTGTTAATATTTGATGGGGAGGGCAGGGGATGGGAGAGAAGGGGAGGAGAGAAGGAGATTCAGGTTATCTTTCTCTATCCTCTCTTTATGAGCATAGGCTGAAATCCAATTCTTATTCAAAGAAGCAATTTATTAGTAATTAATTAATTCAGTAAATGTGACTGAATTATTGATTTTGTTCCAAATTCTATAGGTGGTAGCTGTCCGTATCTTATTTCTCTGAACTTCCTTCCCCCACCCCAATAATTTTATTTTCTATCTATAGATTTGGATTCATTGCTTTATTGAGTCATGTACAAGATTGCATGATTCGTACAACTACTCTTGGTGTTTAAGCGAGAACAGACACTTTTCTTATTCTCTATTTTTGATTGGAGTCAGGAAGAGCCAAAGCACCTTTCTTTCATTTTTCCTAAGGCTGAAGGGAGAAATGCAGAAAGAAAGCCATCTTGACATGCACCTGGATGGCTGGAACTAGGAGGCATCTCCAGTTGGGATGGTGCTTTGATTGGACCATGTGGTGGACATGTGGGTGTTGGGCAGGGACTTTAACTTTCCTTTGGGTGGGAAAAACCTGGAAGCTTTCAGATTTGGGTTTTCCCAGATGTGCCAATATGACATCTCTAATAAAATAAAACTTTGAGGAAACTCAAGCTTTGGAGTTTTCTTTCATTGGGGGTGTTACTTGGAACCCTGACAAAGATATCCCTAGTTTGATAGATGTGTGTGTGTGTCCAACAGAAAGTTGAGCCAGAGTGATGGCTGCTTATAATTATCTTTTCCTGGGAAAACCTTGGCAGACAGGATCTGCTTAGTAAGGTTTAAATTACCGTGATTCCAAGTTTGCAATAAAGGACCATTCCAGTGCCTATCTTCAGACGGCAACTGTCTGGTAGCTTGCCTTCCTGAACGGGTTGTGCACAGCATATAAAAGTTATTTAGACTATCATTTTATGTCCAATAAGCTTGCATTGGTTTACATAATAATGAAACAAAATTTACCTTAACAAAAAATTTTTACATGCAAATTCACATTAGCAGCTGTAAACAAAGAGCCAGTTTGATATAGTGGTTAAGGCAGTAGTGGGTTTCAAATTTTTTTACTACCGGTTCTGTGGGTGTGGCTTGGTGGGCGTGGCATGGCTTGGTGGGCGTGGCAGGGGAAGGATACTATAAAATCTCCATTCCCATCCCACTCCAGGGGAAGGTTACTGCAAAATCCCCATTGCCTCCCGATCAGCTGGGACTTGGGAGGCAGAGAATAGATAGGGGCGGGGCCAGTCAGAATTTTTACTACTGGTTCTCCGAACTACTCAAAATTTCCACTACTGGTACTCCAGAACTGGTCAGAACCTGCTGAAACCCATCTCTGGGTTAAGGCTTCAAGCTAGAAACCAGCAAGGCAGGAGTTCTAGTCCAACTTAGGTGCAAAGACAGTTGGATGACCTCGGGATGGTCACTTTCATTCAGCCCTAGGAAGGAGGCAAGGGCAAATCATTTTTGAAAAACTTTGCCAGGAAAACTTGTCCAGGCAGGGATTTGTGTAGACATAACTGAATTGAAGGAGGAAAAAAACATTTTAATAGATTTTTGCAGATCCATTAAAATGGAAAGTTGCAGATCAGTTGATATAAGAATTTTTGGATTTTTCCATACTGCTAGAAGACAGCTGAATAAGCACAGCTGCTTCTTCACCCTTTGTCTTGATTACTCCTGCTACCCTATCAAGTTTGTTGAACAAAAATCCAACTGTCCATCTCTCTGTCTGCCTTGTGCCCCAACCCATTGCCTGGGTTGTTGTTGTTGTTGTTGTTGTTTTGTACCCAGAATGCATCAGATTACTGTGTACTTCATTTTAGGCATCAAAATATTTCAAGCCAGCTTTTTTCAAAGCCAACAAAATGGGTTTTCACTTAATAAGGCATGTTAATGTAATTACAGAATTTAAGAAGATTTATATTTTATATTGAACAAACTATTTAGCATCAGTTAGGGTAAATGTAGCTTTATAATTGGAGTTGGTTTTCTTAAAGCACGAGAAGCAAGCAAGACACTATATTCAATCGAACGAGTGTAGATTATTACCTCAGCATTAGCCTTCTACCATATGTGGGCCATCATCAAAAACATGAATTATGAAAACAGTAGGAATCTTCTAACTTTTCTACAATTCTGCTGTACTGCAGTGGATCTATTCAAAAAGACCACACTCTGAATAGATGCTTCCTAGGTTGCATTAACAGAGGGATAGAATCAAGATCACATGAAGTACTAGTACTGCTTTATAAAGCCTTAGTAAGACTGTTAGATCGGCGCAGGAATGGAAGACGCGACCAGCTCGTTACATTAGTAACTTTATTGAGAACAAGAAACAGTAGCAAGACTGGCTGTGCGCTGCCGGAGCTCTCCTTATATTCGCTCCGGCAGTCGCACCGCCCCTGACAGCGATTCAAACTTTCCCGCCCGATGGCTGGCAGCCAATCTGGGCGGATGTCCTTATAAGGACATAACACTCCTCCCCCCTTAGTCCGAAAAAATTTCAAGTTCATTTATAAACGTCACGAAGTCCCGCAGGTACGTAGGACGCCTCAGCACCCTAGTTGACCTGCGCAGTCTCACTTCTTCCTCGTCCCCGCCCTGGACGGACGGGGCTCCTCCATCTTCTGGTTCCTTCCCCAGAACCGGGCTCGGTTCGGCTGGCGAGTGTGCGGGGTCACCCTCAGTGCCTCCGGCCGGACCGCAGACCCTGGATGGCTGGTTCTGGTGATCTTCCTCCTGGCCTGTGGATCTCTCGCCTCATTGCTGCTGCTCGGTTCCGACCCGGGAAGAGCGTCTGAGTCTTGGTAAGTCACCGGCTGTCACTTGCTCTTCCCCGGTCTCCCGGGCGCTGCGGTTCGGTCGCGGTTCGGCTCGTTGTTGCCTGGTGGGTGGTTCGGGTCGGTGCCCTCGGGTCCGGTCTGCCAGCTGTGGATGGTGTTGGTTCGGGTTGTGGTGTCCGACCTCGCAGGGGTGGCGCAGGTCTCCTTGGCCGGGCTGGTGTTGGCCTCCCCCGTCAGGTCGGTAGTGGTCGCCCTGGTCGGGCTGTCGTTGCGGGGCTACCTCCGCGGGTTGGTGGAGGTCTCCCCTGTCGGGGTGGCGCAGGCCTCCCTGGCCGGGTTGTTGTCGGCTTTCCCTTCGCCCTAGTCCCTGGTCTACCGCAGGTTGGTGGCTGGGGTCATCTGGGCTGGGTTGTTGTTGTTGCCGGGTTGTCTTCTGTGCTGGACGGGGGTCCCTCTCGCCGGGGAGTCGTGTGCCACCCTTGCCCATGGGCTGCGGTGTGCCCATCTCCGATGGTCCCCGGTCTACTCGCCTGGAGTGGAGGTCTCCCTGGCAGGGCTGATGTGGGTTGCCTTCGCTGGCGGGGTGTGGTGCTTCCCCTCTGGGCAGGTCCCGGTCTACTCGTGTGCTGTGATGGCGGTCTCTCGCCCTGTCGTGCCGGGTGCCCACCTCGCTGGGTTGGTGTTGCCACCCTCCATTCGGCTGACCCCGGTCTACCGCTCTGGACTGCCGCTGTGTCAGCGCCTGGTAGTGTGCTTGGCCGGCCTCGTCGGGGTGGTGGTGGTCTGCCTCGCCGGGGTGTGGTAGGCCTACCTTGTCGGGGTGTCGTAGGCCTACCTCGCAGGGGTGTCGTAGGCCCGCCTTGTCAGGGTGTTGCAGGCCTACCTCGCCGGGGTGTTGCAGGCCTACCTCGTCGGGGTGTTGTAGGCCTCCCTCGTCAGGCTGGTTTTCTTGCACTCCCCCCCACCTTTTCCGGAGCTGGTCGATGTGACGTCTACAGACCTGTCCATCTTCCAGCTCCACGGTGTAGGATCTTGGGCCGGTTGTGCTGTCTATCTTCCCCTTCAGCCACTTAGGAGAGCCGTGGAAATTCAGCGCGAAAATCGAATCTCCTTTGCTGAAGGCGCGAAGCGGGCGGCTGGCCGTTGCGGTCACTTGTGGGCTGTATTGTGGGTGCAGCCGGTCCAATGGTGACCTCAACCTTCTGCCCATCAACAGTTCGGCCGGGCTCTTGTGGGTGGTGGCATGCGGCGTGATGTGCTGGGTGAGGAGGAAGTTGTCTATTCTTTCCTGCCAGTCGCCCGTGCCCATCTTGGTGAGTGCCTCCTTGGTGAGCCTCACCATCCGTTCCGCTTGTCCGTTCCCAGCTGGCCTGTACGGGGCGGACAGGGCATGGCGGATGCCCAGTCCTGCCAGGAATGCCTCCATGGCCAGGGATGTGAGTTGGGGGCCGTTGTCGGAGACCAGCACATCCGGTAGGCCATGGGTGGCGAAAAGGCGGCGCAGGGCCCGGATCGTCGCTTCCGTTGTGGTAGATGCCATGGGTACCACCTCGAGCCACTTGGAGAAGGCATCTACCACGATGAGAAGGTGGCGCCCTTGCATCGGGCCCGCGAAGTCGATATGTATCCTCGACCAGGGGTTGCTGGGGGTCTCCCACTTCGCTGTTTCGGCTTGTGGCGGCGCTGGGCGAACTTCCTGGCACGGGTCACATCTGGAGACCCATTCTTCAATGTCTTTGTCCAGTGCGGGCCACCAGACGTAACTCCGTGCCAGGGCCTTCATGCGGACGATGCCTGGGTGCCCTTTACGCAACGTTTCTAGTGTCCGCCGTTGCAGAGTGCTTGGGATCAGCACCCTGTCTCCCCATAGTAAGCAGCCCTTCATGGTGGACAGCTCCTTCTGCTTCCTGGCGAACGGGCTGTTGCGATGGCCACCCCCTGAGGATCCAGGACTTCACTTGGCGGAGTGTGGAGTCCTTCTGGGTGTGGACGGCCACATCTGCAGACGAGACTGGACAGCTGGCGTCGTCGTCTATGTGGAATAGGTGGAGCGTGGGGGCTGGGTCTTCTACAGGATCCTTCAATGGGCATCTGCTCAGCGCATCGGCGTTTCCTATGGCTGTGCCTGGCTGGTGCACGAGCCTGTAGGAGTAGCCGGCTAAGAAGATGGCCCACCTCGTCATCCGCGGGGACATGAAGGTCGGTGTGGGTTGGTCGCCTGCGAGGAGCCCCAGGAGTGGCTTGTGATCGGTGACTATGGTGAAACTCCTCCCGTAGAGATACTCGTGGAATCGTTTCACTCCTGCAACGATGGCCAGGGCTTCTTTGTCCAGCTGGCTATAGTTGCGTTCCGCGCCAGACATGGTTTTTGAGAAAAATGCTATTGGGGCTTCAGAGCCGTTGGGCAGTTCGTGGCTGAAGACTGCCCCCACCCCGTAGGGCGACGCATCGCAGGTTAGCTTAATGGGGAGCGTCTCATTGTACTGGATGAGGACGCTTTTTGAGGTTAAAAGTCCTTTCACGGCTCGGAATGCTGCTTCCTCTTCCTGGCCCCACTTCCAGGAAGCCGCTTTCCCCAGCAGGCGGTGGAGTGGCTCAGCAACTGTGGCTTTCTGTTTAAGAAAGATTGCATAAAAGTTGAGCAACCCAAGGAATGCCTGAAGTTCCGTTTTGTTTTTGGGGCTCGGAGCTTCATGGATTGCCTTCACTTTAGATTTGGTGGGGTGGATGCCAGAGCTATCAATGAGATAGCCCAGGAACTCGACTTCCTGTACTCCTAGGATGCACTTATCTCTCCTGACTCTCAAGCCCTTGGCCTTGAAGCGCTGCAGGACAAGCCTGAGCCTATCAAGGAGTTGTGCCTGTGAGTCTCCGGAGATCAGCACATCATCAAAGTATGGCACCACCCCTGGAACGCCTTGGAGGAGGCGTTCCATCATTGATTGGAAGATGCCGGGGGCAGCGCTGACTCCAAACTGGAGACGGTTGCATTTGAATGCCCCCCTGTGTGTGACTATGGTTTGGGCCTTCGCCGTTTTTTCGTCCACTGGCAGTTGCTGGTAAGCCTGGGCCAGGTCCAGTTTTGCAAAAATTGTGCCAGTTCCCAGGGAATGCAACAGGTGCTGCACTACTGGGACTGGGTATGCGCTCTGTGCCAACGCCTTGTTGATGGTACAACGATAGTCGGCGCAGATGCGCACAGACCCATCATGCTTCAGTGGGGTCACAATGGGGGTCTCCCATGAAGCATGATCGATCGGTTCCAGGATGCCCTGGGCGATCAGCTTATCCAGCTGCTCGTCTACTTTAGGCCGCAGGGCAAATGGAACCCGGTGGGGCTTCAGCCTAATTGGGGTGATTCCCTTGTCCAGATTAAAAGAGATTGGCCTCCCCACAAATTTCCCCAGCTTACCATCGAAGACTTCCTTGAACTCTTCGATGAGGTTGTCGAGTTCGTCCCTGTGAATTTGGTTGATGCCTTCGATTGAAAGCCCCAGCGGCTTAAACCACTCCACTCCTAGCAGGTTCGGTTGGCTGTCCTTCACAACGGTGATGGGGAGCTTGCCTTTGAACTCGTTGTAGGCGACTCGGATGTTGGCTCTTCCTAACACTCCGATGGGGTTGCCCCCAAAGTCGACGAGCTTGGAGTGTAATGGCTTCAGGTCATGCTTGGTGATGCTGGGTTGCAGGCGCTTCAGTTGTTGCCAGTCCATGATGGAGTAGACCGAGCCCGAGTCTACCTCCATTTCGCAGGGTGCTCCCTCCACGTGGATGGTCACGTGGAACTTGGTGGCATTGTGTGAGTCCGTGTGTGCGATGGTCGTCTGGTGGACCGCTCCGCTCCAGGGAAAATCATCGTCTCTGCGTCTGGATGGGCCAGAGGATCGTTTGGATGATCTCTGGTAATCCTTCCGATTCTCGCGGGGACGGTGGCTGGGTGGCTCTGTGGCTGGTTCCTCGGCTCTGCAAGCTTCGGCGATGTGACCCCTTCTGTTGCAGCGTCGGCAGGTCGCATCTCTCCACTTGCAGGTCGCCCTGGCATGGTCCCCTCTGCAGCTGGCACAGTGCTCCCCCTTGTAGCTTCGTTGGGCGGCTTCCCGCCTTGGGGGTCTGGATACCTTGTGTACGGTGGACTCCACCTCCGACTCGGATCCAGCTGTGGAATCCTCGGTTGATGATTGCTGTGATGAGCGAATCTTGTGGATTCCCTTAGCTCTGCTTACTGCGGCAGCCGCTTTCTCTGAGATTTCGGATGCGGTGGCTTCCTCCACCACATCCTTGAGCACGAGTTTCTTCCTGCTCAGGAATTTCTTTTGCAGGCCTCTGTCCCTCATGCCGAAAACCACACGGTCAGCGATGGCATTGTCCACGTGGTCGAACTCGCAGCTGGCTGCGATCTGGCGCAGGGCAGCCACGAATTCTTTGATGGTCTCACCTTCCTTTTGGTCCCTCTGATGGAAGGTGAAATGGTTCGCCACTGGTGTTCCAGTTGGGGCATAGTATTCTTCCAGGATCTGCAGCAGATCCGTCCATGGCACTTCTTCGATGTCTCGTGGTGCTACGAGATCGATTGCCATATCCAGGACTTCGGAGCCGCAGTTGGCCAGGAAGATGCCCTTTTTCCGGTCATCATCGGCATCCCTGATGTTGTTGCCTCTCAGGTATTGCCGGAATTTGACCACGTAGGATTTCCACTTGTCCTTCCCTGGGCGGAATGGAGCAAGGGCTGGCAAAGTGACTTCAGCGGATGCCATGCCTTCGGGAATGCCTACTGTGGTTTCAGGTGCCGGCGTCTTGGTCTTGTTGGCTTGGTGCCACGAGGTTCGTCTCTTTCCTCTAGTCCTTCGTCGCCAGTGTTAGATCGGCGCAGGAATGGAAGACGCGACCAGCTCGTTACATTAGTAATTTATTGAGAACAAGAAACAGTAGCAAGACTGGCTGTGCGCTGCCGGAGCTCTCCTTATATTCGCTCCGGCAGTCGCACCGCCCCTGACAGCGATTCAAACTTTCCCGCCCGATGGCTGGCAGCCAATCCGGGCGGATGTCCTTATAAGGACATAACAAAGACGACACCTGGAATACTGCATCTAGTTTTGGTCACATTATAAAAAAGATGTTGAGACCGTGGGAATAGTGTAGAGAAGAGCAGCAAAGATGATTAGGGGCCTATGAAGAATGGTTGCAGGAATTTGGTATATCTAGCTTAGTGAAAAGAAAGACTAGGGATGACATGATAGCAGTGTTATATTTGAGGGGCTGCCACAAAGAAGACTGTGGTCCACCTATTTTCTAAAGCACCAGAAGCCAAGATAAGGAACAATAGATGGAAACTAATCAAGGAGAGAACCAAGCTAGAACTTAGAGACATTTCTTGATAGTGAAAACAATTAACCAGTGGAATGCTTGCCTTCAGAAGTTGGGGGTGCTCCATCATGGGTGGTTTTTAAGAAAAGACTGGACAGTCACTCACTTGTTTGGAATATTATAGATTTCCTGTTTGAGTAGGGGGTTGGACTAGAAGACCTCCAAAGTGCCTTCCAACTCTGTTATTCCGTTATATATTCAAAGCAACACACTCTCTCTTAAGACTATGTATTCTAGAGGAAGTTTGACATCCAATGGACATCCTTGTCATTTCGTTTTTAAAAGTCCAAATATTTTGAATAGACAAAGCTGTCCAGATCTATATTAACAATTCGCTCTCCCTCCTCCCCCGCTCTCCTGTTTCTCTTCTTTTTCCTTTCAAGACCAATATTGCAGATTTCCCCCTGCTCAGCCTCCAAGCTTTTTGACATGTAAGCCATCACATTCTCCACTGTTTCTATGCAGCAACTCCAATTCGTTCATAATTTATTTTGCTATTTATTGAAGACATTTGTTTGCCTTGAAATAATAGTGTTTTCTGGACTCTTTATCATCAGTATTTTTTTTAAAAAAAAATAAAAATAAAACATGGATAAAATAAAACAGAACCCTAAAATAAATTTAAAAAAAACCCACACGCTTGACAACAATATAAAACAAAATCGACAGCAACTACAAAGCTGAAATAAAGATGTTAAAATTGAAAGACATGAAAGGAAGCTCACTGTGTTTAGAATGCAGCCGCTGATTATAAAAGTTCACTAAGAGGAGAACAGTTCTAAAGAGCTATTTCCAGATGCATAACCTGTTTCCACCGGCCCTCTCTTCTGTTTTACCTTTAGTTCATTCTTTGGGTCACCGGTGTTTTTGCTTTATTGCATGTTGAAAGGGATACTTATTACATTTGTAAATTACAGGAGAATGGCTGGATACCTAATAATCTAAAACAAAATTCAAACACATCTTGAAAGATAAGAAAAAGCATTTTGAAAATAACAGAACAAATTTAATAAAGGTAAATGCAAAGCTCTTCGCTTAGGAAAAAGAAATCAGGCAGATATACCTGACTTGGTAATATTGTATCAAAAAAGCTCAAGACTGTATTGATTGGAAATATGTGGAAGAATCCTTCATCCTCCAGTGAACAGATGATGGTGATGATGATGATAATGATGATGGTGATGAGTATTTCATCAAAAAAGAGTTATGGAATCGTAATCAACCACATATTAAAAGTCAGTAGTCCTCAACTTATGACCACACTTGCGACCAGAATTTCTGCTGCTAAGAAAGGTGGTAGCTAAGTGAGTTGCACCTAATTTTATGATATTTTTTTTGCCATGGTTTTAAATTGAATCACATGGTGGTTAAACAAATCTAGCTCCCCATTGGCTTTGCTTGTTGGAAGTCTTCTTAAAATACGGGTGTCAAACTCACGCCGTCATGTTGCTGTCACATGACGTATCACAATGGTTTTTCCCTTCACGGAGCTGGGGTGGGCTGTGCATGATGCATCTGGCCCACGGGCCACCAGTTTGACACCCCTGTCTTAGAAGGGATTGCAAATGGCAATCATGTAACCCAGTGGTGAAATTAATTTTTTTTTTACTACTGGTTCTGTGGGCATGGCTTGATGGGCATGGCAGGGGAAGGATACTGCAAACTCCCCATTCACTCCCCACTCCTAGGAGAAGGATATTGCAAAATCTCCATTCCCACCCTACTCTGGGACCAGCCAGAGGTGGCATTTGCTGGTTCTCTGAACTATTCAAAATTTCCACTACCGGTTCTCCAGAACCTGTCGGTACCTGCTGGATTTCACCCCTGATGTAACCCCAGGACACTGTAACTGTTGTAAATATATGGTGGTTCCAAGCATCCAGATTTTTGTCATGTGGTCATGGAATTTCTGTGAGAGCCATAAGTGCGAGGACTGATCATAAATCACCTTTTTTAAGTGCCTGTAAGTTTGAACCATCTCTAAATGGGTGGTTGCAAGTTGAGGACTATTAGTAGTATGACATGGCCATTAAAATATAGATTCAATTTAGGCTAAATCAATAAAATATGCTTTTTAAAAATTAGTAGTAGTTGTTTCAACTGTTCAGTCATATCTGACTCTTGGTGACTTTGTAGGCAAGTGCTCTCCATGCTACTTTGTCAAGCACAGCTCTTTTAGTTGTTGGATCTTTGTATCTTTGATGGTATCTAACCAGAGAGTTATTTGCTTGCCCCTTCTTCTTGATCCACTAGCCATTCCTAGAATCATTGACCTCTCCAATGAATTTGCACATGTGACATGGCCAAAGTAAATCAGATGTGGTCTAATGAATAAGATGAATTTGGCAACCCAAGTTGGACGAACTCTTTGAAAAAGTATGAGAGTAATGATGATTCAGAACCCATATAAAAATTTAAAAAATTACGAGATGTAATATTGCCGTTAGATAATATTAACACCAGAAACATGAAAAATCTGCCATTCTAGGACCAGAACATTCTTGAAAATCAATAAAATGTTCTTTCTATCCTTTGGATTATTCCAATCCATCCATCATGGATGTGGCCTACTAGTTATCCAGAAGTTAATAAACTGGTACTGGAATGTAGTGGGCCTGGTCTGTCCCTGAAATACCTATTTCATTTATAGCACAAAGTCTGAGACATTACAGGTCAGAAATTAACTTCTAAAAAACCAGCAGATCAAATCTAGAGTGGCTTCCAGCATGGGTTTCCAGAGAAATACTGATTTGAAAACTGCGGCGGGGACAGAGGTGGTATTCAGCAGGTTCTGACCAGTTCTGGAGAACCGGTAGCGGAAATTTTGAGTAGTTCGGAGAACCAGTAAATACCACCTCTGATTGGCCCCACCCCCATCTATTCTCTGCCTTCTGAGTCCCAGCTGACTGGGAGGAAATGGGGATTTTGAAGTATTCTTTTCCTGCCATGCCCGCCAAGCCATGTCCACAGAACCAGTAGTAAAAAAAAAAATTGAATCCCACCACTGGACCGGGAGGGTGGGAAGGGTGGAGAATCCTGGCAATAAGAGCAGTTCAAAGTGAAATTGGTTATCCAGAACATGGGGATATCTCCTTCGTTGTATGCCTTCAAGCAGAGACAGGACAACAATTTGGCAGCACTGAACAGCAGGTTTGACTTGATGCCTTAACATTTGTTTCCAATTAAGAGTCCATGAGTTATTTTTAAAACTTCCAACAAAACCAAACATCGAGCAATAATACAATTCTTCATATCCTGTAATAATTACCACTGTGCAAAATCATTCTCCCTGGGCATTTAAGACGCCAATTCAATTATGGCTTTCATTGAAAACCCGAGGCTGAAAAGTTGTAGTACATATTCAACTTAGGGGTAAAAAAAA